ATGTTGAGAGATGTAATTTCATGTTTAATTACAGAAATAAAGAAATTACTTTTGATTTGTATAAAACATAGTATTAAAATATACGTAAAATATAAATAGATTTTGATTGATTTTTAATATTAAATTAAAATCATATGTTAAATTATTACCTGTTGCTAAAATTTGTAGCACTCTCATACTACATATATATATATATATATATATGTATATATAAGAGAATTTTGCACTGTATGAGCACATACTACAAACTGTCTCCTATGTTTATACTTTCATACTTTAATTTTCATGTAGCAACTTTGCCTTATATGTGAGGGATGAATACTGATCTAATCCAACTCACTATGCGTACCATATAATAATTTCAGGCACTACTTATTAATAATAAATTAACAATACATATCCTTACAATGTTTAGTTAGTTCTTTTAGTAGTTGATAAGTATATTTTATAAGTGAATGGACACATTCACTATTATCTTTCACACACTTTTCAATTGTAATATATATCAAATTGAAAGAATTATATCATCTCTGAAAATTCATTTCTTTGATGTGGTGCATCGAATTTTATATATATGCACATTTGTATTACTATTATTGGCTTTCATATCTCTAAGGTGTATGTAGTATAATTTGATTTAATTCTATATGCGCCTAAGAGATATGTATTATACAAATTGTACAAGGAATGTAGGCATAGTTAATATCTAATATTATAAAGTGATAATTATCAATTAGTGCTTATTATTTGTATGTACAATATCGATTATTATTTATATGAGGTTTGTTTAAATTCTAAAATCACTTATAAACAGATTGTACCCTATATAACTGTATCATTTGTAGAGTACTATGCATGTTGACTACTATGATCTACAGGCACACTAACCAGTTCAATGCATGCTGTATTACATAAAAAAAGAAGTACTCTGACAAGTGTCTCAGTTGGGTGGTACATAATTTATCTTCAATGATAATTTATAAGTACATACAAATTCTTACTATACAACTTTTTATTATATATATATATATATACCTATTATTTAGTATTATATACCTAATATCTTTCAATTTGAATGAGTATGCATATTCATTGTGTTGTATGTTGTAATTTTACATGGGAAGATAATAAAATAATATTAGAAATCGCGGCGAAATACATCATACAATAACATTGTGTATTATTACAGTGAGTAATTTTAAATTTCGGATAACAAAAACAATTTTTTTTTTTTTACTGTCCGAATATTAAAATTACTTATTTTATATATATATATATATATATATAAAAAAAAACATCTTAAATACCACATAATTCAGTGCCTATTATGATTGAAAATAAATATTACAATGGAAGTAGAAATTATTTATAAATGATATTACGAATAATTCAAGAATTACTGATGTGAATTAAGTGTATAACAAATAGTTGTAAAAACTAATATTCATACATATATATATATAACTTATATAAATTTCATTGGAATGTTAATTACTACAATACTGAACATTATTACAACATATTATGTATATAATCGTGCTAATTAGGAAACAATAGATCGATATTTCAGCCATCGTTAATTAAATGAACATATAAAAAGTCTAATAAACATTTGTAATATAATTTTACTTTGAAGTCAATCGAAATTGTAATACAACAATATACATATTACTATTTGTTTTCACTTTGTTTTTTTAATCAGTATTAATAAGGCATACACACATATATATATATATATATATATATGGAATGTATATATAAAGATATAAATAATATATGAAACTGTTTCATTAAACCATACTACATAAATGTAGTTGTTTATTAGTCATTTGAATATATATATATATATTCCTATTATTTTCATGAATTATTATGTAATGTAAATTGTAATGCAAGAGACACAATGATTCTTTGTTCATTATAAATAGATTAATATCTTATTAGATAATCATCTTGATTATCTCAACTAACAAGTTAAACTGGAATGTAAAATATTCTTAGTGTATAAGATCTTCTGTAATATATTGTTATATGAAAACATTTTACAAGAGGCAGTGTTTTAATGACGTAGATCGTAAATACATCGCCCTTATAACATTCCCTATTAAAGTATTTCGCCGCACATTCCATTCGAATCTCTCAATTACACAAAAATTACAGTGTATGATATTTTCAAAATGAATAGATTATTACAATGGCTATTAATAACTCTTGCTATCTTCCCATTATTTTAAATAAGCCAGTGCTATGATAAAAATTCTCTTTCTAATTCAGAGATACTTGGTTTTCTATTTCTATTCGGACGCCGATTAGCTTGTAAAGGTACTGTCGCATCTTGCGTTTGTCCATGCACAGGAATATCTAATAATGTTTCCCTAATATCGCGCGATACTTCTCGATCAAATGTTACAGGAGAAAATCTAACTCTACTTATAGAAATTTGACTATCTTTTGCTGAAACGTAACTCGAATCTTCCGACGTTAATGAATCTGGTGGTGTTGGATTCGTTGGCGTACAAGATCCTGAATTATTTTTACTTGTACCTTTATTTGGAGAATTATAAGAATAATTAGATCGTTTCAAACTCGAACGTAAACGTGTAACTACTTCGAGATTACTTGGACGTTCTCCAGAATTCGAATTTGATTCGTGAGAATTTTGACGGGATATAAATGTCTGACCATATTCATGATTAAGTATACCAGAATTATATAATGCTATATTTGAGATAATGTTTGATGATCGTGGATAATAGGAACCTGGTGGATATAAAGAGTAAATTTCTTCATCCTCTAAACGAAATGTTGGATTAATGTTACTCTGACTTGATGTACTTGCATTGGAAACGTTCGATGAGGTGCGATGGTGTGTGTACGAAGGAAGTCTTGATGCAGGTCGAGCAGTATTATTTATACTACTTGGATTGTCATATGCATGTGGAAATTCAGCACAGTCTAACATTCTTTCACTATAAAAACAAAAAAACAAAAACAAACAAAAAACATACAAAGATAAATGATTTATTTTCTTGAAATTTCAATAGAATATATTTTTGAAATAATAATATGAAAATACTTACTGATAATCTGGATGTACAAAATAAGATGGTTCAGGTTGATTACGTCTTACCGATGGAACAACTGAATACACTGGTGGTCCATAATCAGGAAATGGTGCAACATTTCCTAAATAAATTGTAGGTGCCCTTTCTATACGTTCAACTCTACCCGTATCAGATGGGTATGTATCCTCATTACTTGTACTACTACTTTTTCTACGTGGGCTTGGTGTTGGGGCATTTGAACCTGTACTACTGACATAATGTTGTGGTGAATCTGTAAACCGTAAAGGTTTATCTGGTATAACACTAGGAGGAAGACCTGGAGCAATACCACCCATATTACTCAAAAATGGCCTGCAATAAAAAGTATTATTTAATAAAAGTTAATTTTTGATTAAAAAATGTATTTTATTGATATACAGTCTAGCTTTGATTATTGGAACGCTGCTATTATTCTGAAGTATTTGTCTATTTGTACACAATGTATTTTGTTTGTCAATAATCGAAGCTTTACTGTACATTGAAAGTTTTGAAGTTTACACTCAGACCATAGAGGTGTACCTATAATGACGAGCTGGTCCATGATAAGTATTATGAGGATAACCACTGCTCGAACTAAATTCATAGTCAGGGCCAAGGTAACTAGAATTACGATTTGATCCAAAATCTCCATGTAACCACCATCTTGGTATATCATCTTCGCATTCATTTAATCGTGGATGTAGTCTTGGATGAATTGGAGATATGTTTGACATTCGTACATCATACCCTGTCGCCACACCAGCCAACATGGCTGCGATATTGTATAATACCAGCTCAATTATGCTTAACTTTGGTTTTTTCATTTCACCATTGTATAGAGTAGGCATAGGAACAGGCATTGGCATGATGTAAGGACCAGTCAATCCAGGTGTTAACGAATAATCCGGTGGTACCCATTCGGTTGAGATATCAGATGGTAATGCTGTATAATCTATAAAAAAACAATCATATTTCCATAATAATAAATATGTTGTCTATCTTATGATTTATTGACAATCATAGTAATATTTTAGTTTCTTAATTTAAAGTAAGTTTGAATATATGTGACAAATGAGATTGATTATTTTTTATTATTATTATTACAATGGTTATTGAACAAACGCTTTTCAAATTCAATTTGTGTCTCTTACCTTTATGAAGTATCTAATATAAAATTTTGATTATTCCAATAGTAATTTTTACCTTTAAAGATTTCTTATTAATTCATAACAAAACAGTATAAAAATAAGAAAACTGTTTATAAGCATAATGTATGAACACATGCATATTTTAGATTTTGAAAAATATAATATAAGTTAAGTATATTTATTCAATTAAGGATTTGATTAGTAAATTATAATAATATTAATAATGTTATTTAAATTAAAAATATCTAAGATATTATATAATTAATTGATATATTTTAATAGGAGATTCCTGACTTGTTACAAAAAATTAAATTAGTAAAGAATATTTATAGCAAAGCAAGTAATATTAAATATATAAATATGTAATATATATATATATTTAAATAATTATTTAATTGATATTAGTATTTTTGTATTGAATTTGATATAAAATGTGATAATACAATGTATTCATCTTGGGTGAGTTGACAAATTTTGAATTTAACATCAAAACTATTTCTTTTGATAACATTCACTTTTATTACAAAAAAAAAAAAGAAATGATGAAGGATTTTCTGTTTGAGACTCAAAACTTTGCAATTTTTCCCTTGAATAGATAAACATTAATATAGGTAAAAATATTGTTTCAATTTATACTCATACAATGCATGCATTGTTATATGCAAAAGTTGCATATTAATTAAAAATATAATCTTAATAATTTATTCAAAGTATATACCCTATTCCTAATTTAGTATCTATATATAGTTTGGTTCAATATTTAAATTTTAGCATATACATCGAATAATAAATAAAAAAAAAATAAAAAAATATATGTTCAACATGCACGATGACGCAACAAATGCAGATATTTTAATAAATGCAATAATAGTGCAATATAAAGAAAAAGTTCTATGTAAGCAGAGATGTGTAAATATAGATGCGTAAAACCTAATTATTATGATCATTTGTAAATGTTTAGTTACAAGCATATCTCTTGATATTAATGATAATTATGACATATATATATATATATATTCTAAGAATTGATGATTAAGTTGATTAAATTAGAAATAACTAACAGTCCTTTCTGTGCTTTTTTTTCATATTCTGTAAATGATAATATACAGAATATAAAAAATAGAGCAATAGTAGTGTAATATACTTGCTTCATAGAATCAATTCACGTTCGTAAGGATATAGAAAAGGACCAAACCCAATTGGAGTTAATTAGGATTTCTACTGGAAGCATGCATGGGAATTTTTTTACGCTCGGTTATTTCTATTTATATATATATACCCATAGTATTTAAGATTCAAATAAAGAAAAGTAAGTAAGTAAGGTTTTATTCTTACTTCCAATACGTATTCCATTCATTTATACTTTATCAATGATAAAGTAATGTAAAAGCAAGTATTTATAAACATATTAGAGAGACATATTATATATGTGACTACAATTATTGTTATATATATATATATACAATCAACAAAAATATATTTTTTCTATATATTATATTTCTTTTCTAATTCTATTTTTATAAAAGAGAGAGAGAGAGAGAGAGAGAGAAAGAAAAAAAAACAAAAAAGAAGAAGAAGAAAATTAAAAATGAAATTACAGGACCGAGCGTAAAAACCCGAGAGAAAAACGAAAAAACAAAATTCAATGTGTCCAACTGAAAAGGTTTTATTGAAAAAATTTCTATGTCTAAATACAAGTGTGTGCTTGTGGTCCATATATATATAATAATAATAATAATAATAATAATAATAATAATAATATTAATAATAATAATAATAATAATAATATTAATAATAATAATAATAATGTGATGTGTGCAAATTGGTTTTTGTTTTGTTTTTGTTTTTTTAAAGATATTCGAAGTTTACTTGTAAGTAATACTAAAAAAAACAAATCGCTGAAAGTTATTCTAACAAGTAAAAACAATGTGCAAAATTAATTTAATAAATGCACAATTAATTAATGCAATAAAAATAATAGCATGACTACTTTTAATTATGAACAGTATATATTTCATCTCATAAAGTAAATCTTTCTAATTGTGACTTATAAAAAAAAAAAAGCTTTATATTGTTATGACTAAAAAAAAAAAAAAAAGATAGACACAACAAATTTCAAATTAACGCTCTAAACACTGGAATACTATTAGAGTAAAACTGCTGTAATGGCAGAAGCGCACAAGTTCTTTTCACATAGTAGTAGATTGTTAGCTCTGCTTGTTAGAATGTTATATACTCCAAATAATATAAGAAAAGAACCAACACCAGAAAAGGCTGCAATATTTTTTTTTTTCCTTTTTGAGCTTCTCATTTTTTTGTTTTGTTTTGTTTTGTTTTGTTTTGTTTTGTTTTGTTTTGTTTTGTTTTGTTTCCCATCAGCTTACATTAAAGGCAATAAATAATTTATAGATTATATTTGGATTTTTTTGTTTTTGTTTTTTTTTTTAGAATATCAAACGCAAGACTGCAATTGTCGGCAATCACGTGTAAAGATAATAATAATAATAATAATAATAATAATAATAATAATAATCTTAGCTCAATGAAATATTTTATTGTGAATTGTATTTTTAAATAAAGTTCAGCCTATTATATTATTATATTATTGACACCAACTTGTAATATTGTTTATAAAATTACTTAAATTTATGCCTGGTCCCTCACCAAAGTTTTATAAAAAATCACTTGTTTCTTTTTTTTTCTTTCAAAACAATGTAAAATAGTACATATTGTGCTAAGTGATTTATTGTTTTTTTTTTTTTTTTTTTTTTTAAATGATTTTTATTCTTAAAAAAAAAAAAAAAGGCAGAGCTACACCTTTCCATTTATCAAATAAAAAATATAGCACGATTTTTGTTTATAAAATATATATCTGAAAAAAATAGCTTACATAAATAGATAATAATCTAGGAGCATTGTTGTTGTATGATGAGCAGTAGGACAATGACAAGAAAATCATTGATTGTGGTGTTGTATTTCATGCATTACGTTTATATGATCAAGTTTTAAGCACAATCTACGTAATACAACTTAGCAAGATAACAATATTTTGTTATGAAAGTAAAAACACATTCTCTATTTTGAGATCGTTGCTTCACTACATTACATAAAAACTTTGTGGAAAAAAAAAAAGAAAAAAATTAC